GTGTGACAGGCAGCAACAGTGCCTGCTGGGTAGACACTGATTCAGTCAACAAAGCCTGTAAATTTGGAGAAGACGGGGGCTTTGGAAATATGATGTTATGAGTGAATCCTGGAGGGGATTACATCACATGTCTGCTCACCGTGACAGACATGCCTTTAAGCAAAGTTATAAACGCACCTGTCCACCCACATATCTGCAAATATACACACCTGTGTGAGAGATTCCTTTGCCACAAGTAGAAGATGAAAGCGCTCCTCTTTCTGCTGTTCGCTCAGGTCATGTTTGATTTGAATCACTTTGCTGTTTTATTCAAACCAGTTTAACCATAATCTGATCCTCTGATCCCACCAGTAAATTAAATTCCACACCTGCTGCTGGAGCACATCGGCCTGAAAGCCAGAGTCTGAAGTGCATCTTCACTTTGTCATCAGGCTTTCACTGGATCACAGTGTAATTATAGCATAATGATCAACTTCATTTGTGCTGCAGCTTTCAGTAATGATGATTCAAAGTGCAAAGAAATATTTGTACTTTCTACTCATTTCAAAAGAGGCTCATCACTTCATATAATGGAAGTTTTTATTTCAAATATCAAACTAATTTGGGCCTAAATCACAAGCCTATAGAATTTGGACAGAAGTTTTGGTGCAGATATCAACAAGATTCGGTGGGCGGAATCAAGCTAGTGCTAGCATAAAGGTAGGGATGATTTTTAAGTGTCTGATCATTTCAAATGCAATATTTCTCACTGTATTTTTAGTTGTGGAAGCAAAGTGAAAGAAAAAACAAAAATGTTTGTATTTCTATGCTCTAATATCATTTTATTAGCACATGAATATAGCATGAGGTTCTTAGCTTTGCACAAAAAGCTAACTGGCAAAAATGCCCTTCGAAGACTTTCTTACTTTGAGTACATTTCACAGCCCATGCTTTTCACTTTTACTTGAATTGTTGAAACAGTATTTAAATTCTAACTAAAGTATTTTTTTGGAACACGCATTTGTACTTTTACTTACCTAAATAATTTGTGTACTTTTATCCCCTCTGAAGACAAGGACGAACAAGAAATCCTTACTTCTGAGAAGGTTAAGTCTGGGAATATTTTCCTTAAATGATACATTTTCCAATTAAAAAACAAAAACACTACTATAATTTTTAAATTGAAGAAAGAGAATAATAACTAATGATTAAATGCAGACTGGTGTATAAACACATGAAAAAAGGTGAGTGAAGAAGAACAGCAGCCTAGGCCTATCGCAGCATAACTACGGGATGACTCAGGGTCACCTGATCCAGTTCTAATGAAAAGCTTTATCAAAAAGGAAAGTTTTAAGCCTAATCTTAAAAACAGAGAAGGCGTCTGTGTCCTGAATCCAAACTGTTCCACACAAGAGGGGCTGGAAGTTCAAGGTTCTGTCTTTCATTCTATTTTTAAATATACTAGCAAGTTAACTAAGAAGGACCAATTGGAGAGAAAGAGTAAACAAACATAAGCAGTAGTGAAACTAGCTTAATCTAACGATATGTCTGTAAGAAAGTCATGAATTACCCTTAAGTGATTTAAACCCTGCAGCAAATAAACAATCTGAGGGTCAGAAAGAATGAAGGTTTCATAAGACTAAAGTGTCAGAAATATAGCAAAGAGGCAGGCCATGGAGAGCATATTCTAGCTCTGTTTTCAGCAAAGTCAGAGCAACCAAAGGTCAAAAATAGCAGAATTATTAACGTTTAGGACCCAATAGTGAAGTTGCAAAAGCAGCCCAAGTGCCCTATAACAAAAAGCTCTCGAAACACTTATGAGTGATATCATTTTGACATTTATCAAAGCTCGTCCTGAGATTTTTTTGCAAACTGAAAGACCTCTTTAATGACTGTCTAGGAGTCAGTGTACAGAAGCTTATTTGGATTTCTTGTGAAGGACCTTGTGTGCTCTGTAGCACATTGTTTAGGATAAGTGAAGAAGCTGTAATAAAGGCGTGAGGCAACAAAACTCAAAATCCTGCTGCTGAGCTTTTAACACCTAGCTAAAGGAGTGACCCCCATTTGTTCTTACAGGCCTTCACAGGCCACCTGTTAGTTTTAGAATACATTTTAAGGTTTTATTGCTGTTTTTTAAAACTCCTGCCTACGTGTACCAGCTGCTGCGTCTATATGTGCTTGCCCTATGCCTGAGACCTTGTGGCGGGGCCTCGTCAGTGGTCCCAGCCACATGTTTGATCATTAAAGGTGATTGAGCCTTTGCAGTTCAGCCTCCATGACTGAGGATCTGAAAATTGTTGTGTTAATTATTGTTTAGCACTTCTCTCTACAGGGTAGCGCTTACACATTCACCTAATGAGCAAAATCTCGCCAGTCTGATCACAGGAGGAGACAAAAACCTCTTTGGGGTGGTGCCATTAATCTGGCATTAAAAAAATCTAACAAATATGTAGAGCTACTTGCTGTGACAAACCCTTGTGAATGAGGGAGCAGTGGAAAGCTTCTGTTATGTTTTGAAGAGTGCTATTTAACTACATATAAAGTAAACTAAAAGCTTCTCTTTCTGCAGGTCTTAAAAACGTAACCTCGGTGGGATGCCCCAAACTGAAACCCTATCAAATAACAGCCAGAGAACGGCTACTTGATAATGTTGATACCAAGTAAGCTTGATACATGCATGTAAAGAGTAATTTTCTACTCTGTTAGCTGTTGATTGTCAAAATCACGGTGTTAAGTCAGCGCTGACACTATGCGTGCGGTGACAGACAGAACTGCTGTCTTGAAATTTAATGGAAAAGAGGGCGAACAGGAGGGGGAAAAGTGCTGTGAGAGACTTCTTTCTCATTTGTATTCATTGCTTTGCATGGATCGTCTGGCCTCGCTCCCTCAGACCTTCCTGTGGTATGAATCCCATCAGCTTTTCACAAGTGTCCATCAGACAAAGAGAGCTTGTAGATGAAAACAGGAGAGGCTCATCAGTGGATTAAAGGCAGTATGAGCTAAAGCCGAGTGTAGGCCAACAGTGACAGAAACACGTGTCTTATTGTGCTTTAATCAGCTGTTATATACAGTTAGATCCAAAGGTATTTGGACCATGGCATTTTTTTTTCTAACTTTGCCACTAAACCACCAGAGAAGATTTTAAATCAAACAAATAGCATGTGATTAAAGCACAGACTTTCAGCGTTTAATTCAAGCTGTTTAACCGAAGAGGATCAAAAGTAATTGGAAAACCAGCCATCGGTTTCACAGCCAGGTGATTCCAAGTGTTGAATGCCTATTTGGTAGTTTTCCACTGTCCAAAGAGATATTATTGCAAGTGAAGGAGGCCATCCATGGCTGAAAAACCAAAATAAACCTATGAAAGAGACAAAAGGCTGAATCAGAGAAGCTGTGTCAAATACTTATGGGCCTAAATGAACATAAATGTCACCACTTTAAAGTGGTGCAATGAATGAAAATGTAACTTCAACCACTCTGAGTTTCACTAACATGAAGCTGAAAATAGGAAATCATGTAATCTGGTCTTGAATGTGCAATTTTTAGGTAAGTGGTGCTACTTTGGTGTTCTTTAACCTGACTTTCTTCAATATATACAGCGTGTGGATATGGGCGTAACAGGTGTTGGTGTTTACGAGCAGCAAACACTGATACAGCAGCAACCAAGCTCCTGGTGGTACCACACAATCTCAGCTTGTTACAGACCTTACTGCACTGACTAATGCCAGTGGTCAGGGGAGGGGATGCTGTAAGTGTTGTGCAAAGAAGCAGAACTGTGAAAAGAGGTACTCGCTTAAAAAAACACAACCCCCGAGCAAGCCAGCTCTCCAGTGGTTGCTTTAAAAGAGCTTTAGCCATTGTTGCATAGAGCTACAGTTTCATTTATGACTTCACGGGCTGCATGCTTTTCAGCACAATGGATAAAACATTAGAATCGCACACAGTATAAAAGGAAAAGCAGCTTTCTGTGCAGCGCTACATGTTTAGTGTGTTAGAAAAAGAGGCGCTAATTAGCCAAAACCACAGGCTTCAGCTGGGTTTGTTTTTACAGGTACTTAGTCATAAAAATGAAATGATTGCATCTTACTGTGTGTGTGTGTGTGTGTGTGTGTGTGTGTGTGAGAAAGAGAGAGATTGCGTTTATTTGTTTCTTCATCCACCAACTCCTCCTAGAACATCAGAAGTTGAGCAACCAAACTTGGCACACAGGTTCATCTCCCTTTAGGCTCCTGAAGGTTCTTATCTATATCAGATAATGGCATCATGCTGCCTAGCAACGGCCTCACAATGAGTTAAGACGGCCTGTTTATGGATTCGTGCACTGACAACATCTTATGAAAACATCCTATAGTCTTAATTTAATCACAGTAAAATCTACTTTATATCCAAAGTGTTGAACTGTGCATGATATATGACATCACCACATTGCTTGGCAACCACCTAGCAACAGGCTAAAATTATCTATTTTTAGCACCATATGAAAACATCCTGTTGTTTTAGTTTCACACCTTTGCAAGATTTCATCTATAGCCATAAAACCTGATTTATACATGCCTAGCAACCACCTAGCAACAGCTTAAATCGACCCACATTTAACATATAAGTCCTCCTTCTTTTCTTTTTTCACATCTATAAATGTGATTACCAGTAATATTAGAGTGCTAACACTCCAGAAAGGTTCAAGGACTACTCTAACATGGGCAAGCACTAGTTTAAACGAAACACACACACACACCAGATCCACAAATTTTAATTTCATGGTTACACAACAAGAGGAAAAAACCAAAATCACCAGGATACAAAATTTTACTGGGTGAAGTAAAAGGTTTGAGCTGCTGATATTCCTACAGTCAAATTTCACGACAATCAAAAATCTGAACTGAACAGTGGCACTCAATGAAACGTAAGCACCACCATAACCGGTACAGGATTCATCATCAGTTGACTGTGATGTCTAAATTTCAAGGGGATCCATCTTCGTGGAAAACACACACACACACACACACACACAAAGAGACGAATTTTATAGCAAGGTCTTATTTATTGAAATTTTACTTAAAGCACCATCAGCAAATCAATGACACAAGTGCCTTTATGAAATATGTACAAACGTCTTTTGGTATACTGTATTCTCATATTTACAGTGCAGGATCCTGCACAATACTGACTGACGCTATAAGAAAGTAGAGCTCACATTTGGATCAATGTTACAACTGCTTTGATTCAACACTTTCAAAGACAAAGAAAAGGATATAAAGTGTTCAGTCAACAAGTTATTTGTTATCTGTGGAGAGATAAAAATCTTATCGGGTGCAGCTTTCTGAGAGCTGCTTCGATGACGGGAAATAATTTATCCAAAGCTTTAGAAACAGGCTTTGAGATTTCAAACGAAACACTTAAAAAAGTTGCTTCTCTGTCATGCATTCAGCTGGATATCTCCCCTTTAAAACCTCCAGCTGGAGGGACTCATAGTGTAATGCAACAAAATGGCTTTGAGCTTAGGAAAAAGCCATAAGCAGAAACAAAGAACAGTGCAATCTATGATGGAGAGGAGAGAGATATTGACCTAATTGTAACATCATCAGTTACTACATTATGAGCCATAAAATACTGTACATGTACCTGGCAGCTTATTAAAGCAGAACACCATGGGGTGTAAAACGGATCACAGAGAGACTGTTTTGGTTCGGTTGTTATATGCTGCTGTTCACTAACGGCTATCAGAGGTGTTGCATTAGAAAAAATTTGAGGTTGAATTTTTGATGCTGTTTTCCAACAAAATTGTAAAAATGAGTGTTAAGTGTTGTTGTTTCCAGACAGTCACATGGCTGGATTATTGCTGGTGGAGGAGGTTCAAACATCAGTGCTGGCATTATTGCATTGTGTTGACGGTGTCTCCTTTAACCTGCAGACAGGGAATCATGGGAAAGAGAGAGAGGTAGACATGTCAGACTTAAAGGTCAACCTAAAATGTAACTCCAGTGACCTGTGTTTGCAGGTAATGTGGTAAAACTGACACATTCGGGTAGTTTTTCAGCTGATATTTGAGATCAAAAGGGTTTAAATTACAGCATAATTCAGCCCAACTCCATCTCTAGTGTGCCACGCTCACTGACTCACAGTGCCGTACAGTCCATCACAGCCTCGCTGCACACGTGGTAAGCACTGGTTCACACAGCGTCAAAGAAGGATCACTAATCACAAACCTCAGACTCTGGCAGCAACAAAACAATAAAACCTTCACTTCACAGCTCCTCTGCTACCCATGAGCTGAGCTGGAAAGGTGATGATCCCACACACGACTAAAAAAAACATAAGTGTGAAAACTCAGAGCGGAGGTGCTTAACTTGAAAGCAACGTTTGCAGTGGCCGATATTCATCCTGTTTTCCTGAGCATATTTGGCAATGAATTTATTCTTGTGTAGAAAAAAGGTTTCACAAGCTTTAGAGCCAAGCATCTGCATTTTGATGTTTTTCAGCTCATTGTTTTGCTTCACAAACATCAGAAACTTCCTGTTTAGCTCTGCTCTCAATGTCTTTCACAGCCTCCGTTTTTGCTACACACTAACCAGAGCTTCATATTTGAGTGGTAAATAAGCTGATGAAGAGGTTTGGTATGAAGCTGTAGTTGACTGAAGCACCTAAAAGCATCTACATTCATGAGCAACATAAATGAAGCCTGCTGGATCCTCGAATTAATCACTATGTTACAACTGGTCATATGACTGGTTTTCGTCTGAATGTCACAAAGGTTAAACTTATTCTAGGTTATTTTAACAAACTTGCTTTCAGCAACACTGCATATGCTTTCTTTTCTTACTCCCAGCCACCATTGTGCCCGAGTCACCGTGGAAATTCACAGGTCTGACAAACAGGGCACAGCTGCCACGCTAGATGGCATCGCATTGAGCAACCGCAGCAACACCAACATCACATTTACTTCTGTTTTGAGATCTCTTGTGTAACCTCATGTGTACAAAGTGCCTCCTAGTTGAATACAAGTAACCTCTAGCCCTTGTACAGCTTTGGAAATAAAACCCTGGGAAAAAGCAATGTGTAAATGACGTTGGTCAACAGTTCGCGGAGCGGACCTTGACCTCGCCTTCCCGGCTCTTCCAGTAAAGGAGACTATTCCAGGGTTGAGTTGCACCACACTTCCACGCATGCCTGTTGTAATCACTAACAGATGTTAGTGGTGTTTGCGCTTTCAAACATGTGCAGTGACGAAAGGGTCACAGTTCATCAGTCACAGCTCTGCTGAAAACCAGCTGGTGCATCACAACAAACAGAGGCTGGCAGCAGAGAGGAAACGGCTTGGAAACACTTTTTATTGCCCGAGTCAGCTGTTGATCTGTGTTGTGTTAGCCTTGTTGTGCAACATGCTATAAGTAATTTGTTTGCGCAATGCTCTGTGTTTGTACTATGAGAAAATCAATATTAAGGTTTTGTGTTAAGTGAAGTTTTGTTAGTAGGCAGCAGGAAAATGTCACTCAAAACTCTAAACGTCTTCATGCTTGATCATCATTTGGTTTAAAAACACATTTTGGAGATCTGATGATCTAATATATAAACAAATCCTAAGTGTCCAGGCATATTATCAATATAAAATGTCTGTGAGGTTGCAATTGAGAGAAATTATTCTCAAAATAGTCTGTAAATGTTAATAACTTGATAATATGCACAGGTATGCTCACCTTAAATTCAGTTACAGACGTTTAGAGTCCTCTGCAGTTTCACCTATGCAAAGAATTCAAAGAAAAGTCATGAGATCACTCAGTGTGGAATAAAGCAACTTCAGCGTAAGAAGCTCTGCTGGACGATTACTTGATGTGAACAACAGCGACATCTGCTGGATAAACTGTGGAACCTCCTTCACGCCTCTCTCAAACCAGCTGGGTCTTTTCCTGTGCGGGTGGCTCTTCACATTGGTGGAGTGGTTGCAAAAGTCTGAGCACCCGTCACTGCACTACACTATGATGCTCTGCGTATTTTATCTTTCGGTTGAACCAGTTTTTGTCTGAGAGCGTTACTGGCACTTTAGCTCCAGTGACAGTGACAAGACAACTTTTTTTTCCACACCCTAACTGATGTGATGACTCATATACGATTAATGGCGTGTCAGTGACCTTCAGGACAACCTCCAAGGGCACAGCCTCCCTCGCTGGGGCTTAAATACCTGTGACTCTTGGCCAGTTGTTTCAGAACTGACAGAGTCTCTTGGTTAAGAGACAAAAAGAAGACCTGGTGCCTTCTTTTTAGTCACTCAAGACCACCAAAACCTGGATGTCAGTGAACTTCGACGTATTTCTGTTGTGATCTGTATTTCTATCAGATTTCTAGCCACAGTATTTTTGTTCAGAATTCTCTTGTTCATCCAGTGAAACCTACCATCCTTTTTCATCCACTCATCCAACTCTTCCATTTCGAGCTCAAGTACAGAGGGCACGTCCTCTTCAAACATCGGCCTGAAAGACACAAAGAAGAAAGGACTGAGAGTCATATTTTTTTTCTTTTTTTATCATCACATCAAATATAATTTCAAAGGACTTCAGAGCCACATTTTTTAATCTTTAATAAGTCGGACTTAAATAAAAAAGAAAGACGTGCTTGTAGTATTATAGTAAAAGATTGCACAGAAGCCAGGGGGTAGTATATGTTTTCTTTACAGCTCTCAGTATCATTCAGCTGCAGCCACAAGCAGGAAGTTATTCTCACAAAGCACTGAACATCGAGATGATATCAGTTCTTTAACAGGTTCAATAAGCAGTTGTAGCAAAATCACATGGGTGACACTTACATCGGCACCTTCTCTGTACTGGATCCATCCAAATATGGATCTTCTTTACTCAGGTCTACAAGCAGAGAATATGCAGCAGTCAAGGCATAAAAGTCATAAAAAAACAAACAAACCAGATAATCTGTACATTAAAAACCACCAAACACTAAATTATTTCAGATACTTCAGTCTATCACCCCCAGTCCTTCACTTTTTGTTTGTTTTTGGACTTTTTGTTTTTCTCTGTGTACAGGCCTTCTAGATTCCCTGCACGTCTGGATTTCTGTGGATGTGTGTGAGTGAGCGTGAGCATTTTGGAGTGGACTTTCTGAGTGAGTTGTGGATTAAGTTGAAGCTCCACTCCCTCTGTTATCTGTCTCACTGTATATATGTATATATCCTCACTTGGTGCCACATTGTAAATAAACCCAAACTTCAGAGTCCTGCGAGTGAGTCCTCTGCCTAATAATCTGTGACACCAGGATTAAGTGAGAGAAGTGAAACTTTAAAATATTCCCTCCTCTGATTGACATACCTGGATTTCTCTTTTGTTTGTTCCACCTGCGGTTGATGAAAATGCCACAAACTATCATGCAGATGATTATGACCACCAGCACTGCAGGGATAATGATAATGATGGGGTCCAGGCCTGGTGATTCAGTTTCATTCATGGAGTTTTTATCTATTGATGTGGCAACTGTGGAAGGAAGACAGCAGTTTAATCATTCGTTTCCCCCAGGCCTCATAACTGTCTTAAAATCTGGCATAAAAATATGCAAAGAGGGGATTTTCACAGGAATTAAAACCATGGGGCATTACTGACATTACATTCAATTCAGCCCAGTGACTACTACAGTTGCACAGGTGATGATTATTGCAGTAGTCTCATTACAAATCATTACTCATGTGGTAAAAGAAGCAGTCAGTTATACATACCACTACTGGAGGCATTGCCTTCTGCATTAACCCCGAGTAGAAACAACCAGGAATTGTGAGATGGTTTCATCCAAAATGAAAAGGGAGCAAAAACAGAACAAATGATGATAAAAAAAAAAACAACAAAGCAAAGCATCATTCACATGTAATGATGGAGAAAAAAAATTATTTAATGTAAAATAAAAGCTGCTGTGGACCCACCGTACAGAGTCCTATTTGAACTGGTCCGATTGATGACTATTCTGGTGTCAGTAACAACTGGGAACAACAGAAAGAACAGATGTGTTCATACTCCTGGACAAAAGTATGTAGATATCCAAAAAGTGTGGTTGCTAAGCATCTAATTTGAAAACCAAATACAAAAAAGATGCTGTAGTAACATCATAACAGTTTTTTTTATTGTAATATGAAAGAAACAGAGCAACAAAGAAAAACCTAATGTCGTAAAGCTAAAAATATCCAATGTCCAGATTACTGCTTAAGTAAAAGCAACACAATTACCCCAATACGAGGCCCGCTTTCACTTTTAGCAACAAAACGTAAGTAAAATTTCTCTCTTTGCAGAAACCCGAGGGTGTGTTAAAAAAAATTGTGTTATTGTTGTCGTCGCTAGAGTTGAACTAGGGTTCGGGCATCGTTCAAAGGGTCACAAGATAGATGCGAAGGATTGAGAGGCGACTGCGGGGAGAGGAAAGAAGAAGAATGAGGTTCCATACCATTTCCTGAAGCTGTCTTTTATGATGTGACACATTCAGTTGGAGGTTTGTGATGATTTTAAGTTTATATTGGCCAGGAAATTTAAAAAAAAATTGTTCCACAAGCTCACTTACAAAATTAACATTGATGTCCAAAAATGCTTAAATTCTTATTAATCTTAGTTAGTGTGTAGGCAACGCCTGCACAAGTAACTGAAAAGCACTCTCAAAGTAAAAACAAATATATTTAAATTAGGCAGACTCACAGAGATAAAGTACATTTATCAGAGCTAAAACCATAAACAGCAGAAATAAATTTAAAAAAAGAAACTAAATTAAAAGAAAAAGAATACAATTCTGTGTTAATATGAAAAGCATAAATGCACCTCCCCTTCCTCCTTTACAGTCATTGAATGATTCATGTCATGCTTTCGATTAGTGTTGTACATTCTGAAATGATTCAGAGTTTTTGAGGGCAGGGACGCTAATACTCTGAAATTTTGTAAGAATCGCTGGCTGCATAGGTCATGAGACAGTAAAGCGTGTTGTGTTGTCTCTTTCGTGGGAAACTCTGATCTAAAAATTAGTCACTGCAGCTTTAAAATAAGTACAGGAACGTAAAAGCTACTTTAATACACCTTAGTGGCAGAAAAAAGCTATAAAAATGGCTGTATTGATAAGTAGAGGCACGTATGAGTCTCTGAGTGAACATCGCAGAAAAAACAAAACAAAACACTTGTAACACAGAGGAAAAAGTCATAAATACTCGCGATTTAAAAAAAAAAAATCATATTTTGCAGACGTTCTCCACAGTGTTGGAGACTCTGGGATTTTCCCCCATTCAGCCACAAGACCATAAGTGAGGTGGGCACCTGACGTTTGGTGGTGAAGTCATGCTCACTGTTGGATGTTTATCCAAGAGAACGTGTTGAAGTGGGTGACAGCTTCTGCAGAACTGCACTGTCACATGGTGGGATTTTCTTTCCCCTCTTTGCAAGTTCAGACTTGTAAATGCCTAATTTACAGCCCAGCCCACAGGCTCAGTGCAGACCTGAAGAGAAGTGATTCTTTAAGGATCTGGAGGACAGGGCTCTCCTCATTTTTGTCCAAAATTTCAGTGTAAGTGCACTCAGGAACTCCAGTACGACAGAAAAAAAGATTAAAATTCATACCAATGTATATAAATACATTGGTGTTAAGTTCTCTGTATCAACATGCTGTAAACTACTGCATCAAATAAATGCTTAAAAGACACATAAATTGAAGTAAATTTTAATTATATTATTATAAGATATTGTTTCAATAAAGGGAATTCAAGGCAAAGGTTATACATACATGCGTGCAGGTTATTCTCTATGGTGATCTTATGAGCAAATATCTCTTTTAATTTCAGGCCTTCAGTTGGAGATATCAAGATATCAAGATCGAGACAAACTAAGACATCTGTTTCTCAGAACATTGAGACAACTGACAGAAAAAACATGTCCACATACTTTTGCAGCATATTATTTACACCTCACCTGTGGTTACTGTCTCATTCACCAGCTTGCCTGACCCGCTTTGTTCCGTTTCCATTTCTTTCTGGCCAAACCCTGTATTTGGACACAGCTCGTTACTTTGTGTTGGGGAACTGTTATGTCATTGAAATTGGACGGCGAACACTTGAAAGTAAAGCATCTGCAGCATTTCATAGCAAAAGTGAAACACACCTGGGGCTGAAGACTGTTACTTCTGCTTGACTTCATTGGCAACATTGTGAAAAACAGCGAACCTGAGTCAGATTGCACAGGAACTCAGCACTTCCGTCTAGTTTAGTCCAAATGATTGCAAAAAAAATCAAAACTGTTGCAAAACCGAGGACTAGGAGGTGATGATGTTGAGCAACTGGTTTAAAGCAAGTTTGTCACTCAGTAAAAAACAGTAATGTTGTGTTGAAACTGTCCTTTTCAGAGTGATACTAACTGTAGACTGTGACGCCTGTAAAAGGCAGCTTTGGCTGACCTTGTTATAGACTTATAAACTATAAAGACAGGTAACTGATTTCTACACATGGCGCTCATCTCACAGTCAAACCTGTGACTCTTCTAGCCCTGTACTGCCAATTTCTGCTTGTTACATTTTAACTATAGGAGAAGTTTTTTTGATTTTGAAAGCATGAACAATAGGAGCCTTTGATTTTCAGTCGAAAAGACGTTCTCAGAGTGCCCCAAAAGAAAAACTGAAGCGCACAAACGGCAAAAGCGGGGAGGAGGCAGGAAAGCGGAGAGCACTGCTTTGTTTGAATTCACTGAGTAAAGAAACTAATGTCCCCGGTCCTACCTGTCCCAGACAGCACAGTGGTCAGCAGCAGCAGCAGGAGCAGAGGGACCTTCACCCTCGGGGTGCTCATGTTACCAATCCAAGAGGCAGACATTGTGCCATTGTGCGCACGTTTCCTTCTGTACTGTCACAGCATCGCACTTCCTGATATGACTTAACACGTTAAATAGAAGAAGAAGAAAAACGATTCTCTCGGTCTCACTCACACACCCTCAGACGCTCTGAGATGTGATGCAATCAGCTGTGTGCTTGTAGCCACACGCCTCATGGCATTCTTGGTGGTTAGGTATGCAGCTCAACAGAGTCAAGGGGGAAGCTGAACAAACTTTAAGGAAGGAAAAAAGCAAAAAAAACCAAAAAAAACCCCAAAAAAAACAGGTGGCATGAGCTCAGCCAAGAGAAGAAAGCTGTCGCCGAGCTACCGCTTTAAATGATCCAAGTGTGAAACTGCTGCGTGTCTGCTGTGTCCACTATAGCTGGAGCCACTGTTTGTGGTGAAACACTGATCATGAATCTCGGGGTCATGCTGCCTTGGTTATCAGTCAGCTGCTGTGGGTTCTTGGCCTACTTTAAAAAGACCACAGTTTCTCTTCTCATCGTTAGAAATGCGACGGTGATGTGTTTCAACATGACGGCTGGGCTTTGCGATTTCCATCAGCTTTATCTGTTCAGATCACCTCAAGAGTCACGTGGGGATAAAATGTATACCACAGAATTACTGTTCTAAAGAAGAAGAATGAGACTCTGTTAGCACAAACAAGAATAAATTCAATGATAGAAAATTAATATCTAATTGAATATAAATGGACATAGAGAAGTTGGGCTGCATGTTTTGAGCGTTCTGATATAAATGTTCAGTACAATTTTCACAATTATGGCTTGACATGATATGAAGTTAGCACAGGTTTTCTATTTGAGCCTGACTGAAGAAAAGTAAATGTCTTATCAGATTTTACAGCCACGAGTCAAGAATCAAACCCCTGCAAACCTCATGGTGCTGCTGAGAAGGCTTCATCCTTATGGGGACAAGAACATGCATTGCACCCACTTGCTGCCCAATACACACAACAGTGCATACACCCACCACATCACCACCTAGTAGAGTTTTCAGCATTGAATTGGGGAAATAGGTTGTGTTTTGGGGTTAAAATAGACGTGCTCAACCGTGTGAGCCTCGTGTTTGAGACTGTTTGGCCCAAAAACCTTGAAGACCAACAGGTGTAGCTGTGGCTAAAAACCATCAGTGTCTTCAATAAATAAGTCTTTTTAAAACTGCTTACAAAACAAAAAGCATCTGTCAGTTTCATCAGTAGTCACTAAAAAATATCTTTCATGTATCATTTTAGCCGGCCAGAAGGGGCAGAAGGGAAGAAGTTCTATGCAGGGGCCCAATCAGGCCCCTGCATAGAACTTTTGCAGAAGTCTTCTTCTTCGTCTTACTTATATCTTAATAAAATACAAAACCAGAACTGTATGGGTAATACGGTGGTGCAGTTGTTAGTACTGTTGCCTCACAGCAACAAAGAGTTCAACTGGGACCATTCTGGGCAAAAATCCCTGTTTGTTTTTTTTGTGGTTTCCCTCTGGGTTCTGTACTAATAGTGGTGTTGGGTTAACTGGTGATTCTAAATTGTCAGTGTGAATTGTTGTCTGTCTCTCTGTGTTAGCCCTGCGTCAGATCAATGATCTACGGTAGAGTGGCAGAGAATGAATGGAAATGTGCAGGAAAATTATTTTTATATCTCAGGAGGTTGTTTGAAAAACCTACCTTCAGCTGGTTTCTTGCCTCCGCAGCAGGTAGCTCTGCATGTTTGATGTGGCAGAGTTTGACCCTTCCTGACACAACACAAAAGATACAGGTGGTTTGAATAAACAAGAAGCAAAATACTGATGTTTCACACCCCTGATTTAAGACTGAACTGCAGAGCTCCTTCAGTGACAGACTGCTGCATCCTAGATGCATGAAGGAGCGTTTTCCACAGGTCCTTCCTCCCTGCAGCTGTCAGACTGTACAATCAGAACTGCTCCCAACAAACATAGATGTTTACATCTGCGCTGTAACTGCAATAAGTTAATTAACCGATTCGCACTACAACCTGCTTTGCCTCTTATCTGTATTTTTTTTTAATTTAATTTAATAACTGTACAGTACTCTCTGTATATAGTAACCACTGTCCTTAATGTAAATATGTAAGAAAAATTGTGTATGTTTCTGTTCCATGTCCTGTGTACTGTTTGTTTGTATATTTGTCTTTTTGGCTGCTGTTACAACCAAATTTCCCCTTTGTGGGACAATTAAAGGATTATTCTATTCTTCTATTCTATTCTAAGACTTTACCAGAAGCAGTGGTTAAAAGGCATGCATTAATGTGTTTAACAGTGAGCTTTTTTCCTTGTTTTGTTTTGCTCTTCAGGCCAAACCCATTTCTCATTAGATGCTTATTATTATTATTATTATTATTATTATTATTATTATTATTATTATTATCTATAAATCGGTACTAAAAAAGTTTGGAAACTTTTCATTCTTGCAGATATAGACAGCTCTATTATCTGCAGTTTTGGGTTATCCAGTCTTGCGCTATGTGATTTAAAAAAAAATCCAAGCATGCTTTTACTGCATTGGCAGTGAGTTTGGGATCATTGTCATACCCAAAAACAACACTTTGGCCACCTAGATGCTTTTCAGATGGCATTGTATGATAGATAAAAAAAATCTGACTGCTCTTGGCTGTAGATACTCACTGTTGTACCTCTCTCCTGACGTCACCCATACATACTGACAACAATTTGAACCAAAAATCCCACGTTAATTCAAAACTGATTTCAATCCAGTTCTTGTGTAATCTGAAATACCTCAGCCTTTCTGCATGAATCCCTTCTTAAGAATCTTGTTTTGACTGCTATACACTTCACTGAGATCATTTCTGATGAGTTACCATTGAACAACAGGTCAACTGTTTCAGGTCAGATAGATTTTTTTTAGATGAAGATGACTTTCAGACACTGTTTATCTGCTGTGGGGGGTTTTAGGCACGCTACTTGAAAATAGTCAGGTACAACTGGACTGAAAATGAGTGAAAAGGCAGCCAGTGTCAAAATAAAGACCCTCAGAAAGCCTGGAGAACTAATGCTCAAGAACACTTTAAATATGACAAGGGAGTTTGGCTACTTGGAAATAAAATATATACAGATATTATTGTTGGCACAAGATCTTTGCACAGTACCTCAAATGGTACAAAAACAGGAAAACTTATGATCTCTATTTGTTTCACACAATCAATACAAGGACTTTACTGAGAATAGCCCGCAAGCTTCTGGCACTGAGCAAACTGAAGCTAAATAATGTTTCTGCTGAAGAATCGTTGTTTTGTGATCTTTTTCTGTGAGAAAGGAGCCATGTTAGCATGTGGTCTAATCATCCGTGACTGGCGTCTCTTCCTCAGAAGCGTTTACGCTTACCATGAGTCATACCATCAGAACCTCTCTGTTTTTCACTTCAGTATTTCTGTTTCTGTTAATAATTCTATTTCACTATTTTAGAGAAATAAGATTGCACATGTTGTTACTTTTTCTAAAAGAAAAATCTCCGGTGGAGACTGAATGTGTTTTTTAACATCTATAAGCAATCTGTGGTTCCACCCAAGAGTCCATTTGACTTCAAAATATTTCACAATAGGCCACATAAGCAGAAAAACAAAACTCCACCTCAGGGATCTACAACAGAGACAGCTGCGTCCATAATTTGTTGGACAAACACTTTTGTAGTTTTGCCTCTGGGGCGAGTTGAGACCAGTCAGGTTTGCCTGAAAAGATCAGATATGATGATGGGGAACAAGAC